GCGAAAGCCGTATTGTCTATCATTGATGATGCCTGAGCTCTCCAGATATTTGATTAGCTCAATATTAATGGATTTCTCCATCACTTTGGAGATTAGTAATAACAGGGCCTTTAGGGGATTGGTTGGACTCTAGCTGTCTTCCAGCATGACGGAAGAATGAACATGAGATTATTTTAAAAATTTGGTTACTCAAGTATAGAAGTTGCTCTCTTGGTCTATAGATCTGACATACTTTGAGCAATGCAGCGTTGCCGTTTATACCAGAGAGTACTCACTTTTTTCCCGTGGGAAAAAAGTATGATTTATGAAAAGTGACATTTCATAACCTGTCAATAGATATGAAATTTCAAACTTTTTACCCTTCATAGAAAAAATATTATAATCCGGAAACATTTTCAGTTCTGAAAATTTCATTTTTGTCCCACTTTTCATGGAAACAGCCCCGTATCTTATGTAATTATTGAGTTAGGATTGTTAAATTTCCAAGAGCAAGAAATATTCCAAATATACAGTCAATGACCAACTGAAATTACCATCAGTGATATACACTAGCAGCCATGGAACTACCTACATGTCCGGAAAATCATATCCGAAAACAAAATTGGTTGGAAATCACTTCGGATTCGGGAACAGAAAACAGAAATTCTGATATACTGACCACTCATACTTTATTCTGAAAAATTTTCAATTCTGAGATAATAAATCCTGCCTCAACTTTCAATGGAAGCACCCCAGTATCTTAAGTAATTATTGATATAAGAGTCTGAAATTTTCAGGAGCAACAAAGAGGACCAATGACCAAGTAGGATCATCTTCAATAATAAACTGCTTGCTAGCAGCCACAGAACTACCGACATTCCAGAAGGAAAAATGTATTAAATCGGAAAATTCACCTACTGGTTGTTCTGAAATAGATAATCATAAAGTCAGTTTCCATCAGGAATAATGAAATAACAATCAGAACTAGTACAATCGAATAGATTATCATCAGTGATACCATGGATCAGAAATCATGACGGTTGTCATTGAAATGAATAAATTATGAATGAATGAATTCGTTAGTAGTATGAAGAAAATATTTACCGATAATAATGCGTCAAAATATGGGCAGTTAGTGAATTGGACGTCCTGTTTTCGAATTTGAAGTGATTCTCAACCTATCTTGTCTCTTGATATTATTCTCCTTACATGTGTGTAGTTCCACGGCTGTTGGCGAGCAGTTTATATCACTGAAGATGGCCCCACTTAGTCATAGAGTACATTTTTGGTACATAGTTGGTGAAAAGGGGGACAAAAATTAATTTTTCAGAAATGACAAATTTC